TTCCTGTTGTGGTGGTTACATTACACTACAGTTCAGAAAGGAGAATTCAGTGTGGTGGTGTTTTAAAGCTGGGTTAGAGAAATGCATCTGCTTTATAAAAGATGGGATATGTGCATGGAAGGTTATGACATTTTGCAGCTTGGTCAGTGAGACAATTGGAGACTTTGAGGTCTTAGCTGTTCCCTCTCTGTTGCTGTCACATAGAATCATAGAATTGTCAGGATTGGAAGGGACCTTAAAAATGAAAAGCAATAAAGTCATTATGAGGCAGAAATGATAGGACCAAAGAGGAGCTACATGAGCGAGCTACCTGTCCTTTGGGCATGCCATTATCCACTTCACGGCTCGGGGAGAGAGTGATCTGCAGCCTCGATATCCAGATGCCTCTGTGAAGAGAGTGGGGGCAGCAGTCCATATGGTGTGTAGGCCCCTTCCTCTCACTGCTCTGATCAGCTGGAAATGCTTCCATTTACTGGCCACTGAGATATTATGAACATTGGAGATGTGAAGCAGGTAGCGAATGCAAGGCGTTGGAACTAGATGATTTTTAAGGTCCTTTCCAACCCAAACCATTCTATATTTCTACAGTTAAATTCAACAGATCTGCTTAAAAATTGTCCCCTTTTGCATGCTGTTCTCCCTTTCTGTGGTGCAGTGTTAAAAGCAGCAGTACTGCTACACTGGCGGGTAGGGATTTTTCCTGTCATGCTTCATTCAGAAGAACATAGGTTGCCATACTCTTTGTGCAACTTTTCTCATCCTAATGTTTTTGATTTGTGTGGTCTATTAATAAGATTAGCAGGACAAATAGAAACATATTATCTGACATTCAGCATTTTAAGAAAAAAGAGAAATTCAAGGTAATTTATTGATTTGTAACATCAGAACTTTCAGAATGTACCCTTGATTTTTCTTGAAGACCTAACCCTTGTGCATACATGGATAAGTGACTGCATACAAGACTCGATGCTCTTTGACTTAATTAGTCCTTCCAGCAATTTTTATTTATAGAAGGTGGAGTGACATGATGTTGGAGATGAGCACAATTTCAGTCCTATGCTTCAAAAATATAGCTTCCTATAACCATTTGAAAAACAAATTAATTTCCAAAAGAATTTCTCATAAGGTTGAACAAGATAGGGCCTCAACGCATCCATGCACATGTGCATAGCCAGCTTGCCATATGATTGCATGGCAATGGGAGTGAATAAAATGAGAGAACAGAAATCTGTATACAGCAATGTTTATTCATACATGTCAAGGAGTAATTGTGGTCTAATAAATTTTTATAGTAGTTACTGCTAGAACTTCCAAAGTCTTCACAAGCATGGCCATGGCAGAAGAAGTTCCCATTTTTATTGGTAAAGGCTTCTACGTGCTCTTTATTTTATTTTGGGAATCTTTCATGCACTATAAAATCATCAAAGTGGCTGTCTGTATCTACTGCTGGCTTAATATTTTTTGTCAGAGTTACTGAGGATTAAACTTTTTTTTTTAAAAAGGGAAGATTTCTAAGATATTTTTTAAACTGGAGCAGAGCAGTCTGGCTTACATTACATTTAATGGATACAGGTGATTAACAAGAGGGCAGGACATTTCAAAAAAGCTTTATATAGGAATAATACAATGTCTCTTCAGTATAATAATCATAATTATTAATGAAGATTTTTCTACTTCTAGTTCCCTCTTAGTCATATGTTGATGTCACTAACCTGATTGGAAATTAATTAGTATCTATCAGTTATCACAAATACTTTACATTTAAAGTTGGCGTACTAGACTCTATTTGTTTACTGATTTTATCTCCTCCTCCCCTGCTGCTCCATCTGTTGCATACTTTTCCTACTAAGCTATTTTCTACCACCTTTTTAAGCTAATCTATACAGTGTACAAAGCAATGAATATCTATGGAAAATGTTATTTGTGGAAGATGGAAGAACTGAAGTCAACAGAAGACTATTGGGAGGGAGAAAATGAAAGATTTATCATATATTGGCAACAATGATAGTTTAGCAAAGAGTGTGGCTATTCAACCAATTTATTGAACTGATACCTTGAATGTAGATGCTCAGACTTTTGTTGTTACCTGATTTATGGTAATTAACATACTATTGAAAGTTTAAATTTTTAAAATAAATTTCATAATTTTAAAAAAAATTTCAATTTAAATGCATTTCTTGGGTGTTGACAAGTTGTTCTGGCTATTGAGAGAAAGAGTGAGAAAAATATAGGTACAATATTTTTCAGAAATATTGTTCTGTAGTTCATCAGCCCAGATAAAAAAAAGAAAAGCCAGTGAAATTTGTAGCTATTTGTCAGCACAGCACAGTGTTATTTTCTATTCTAGCTCCTCTTTGAAGATGTCTTTATCCATCTTTTAGAAAAGTGAAGCTTTTCCTTTTAAATAATTATTAAATAATCAAATACTGTTTGGTTTTAAAGTCCTTCTTTATGTAAATCACCCAGAGTTGTTGACTACTGGTGTGCAAAATTAGTCACTGTACTTAACAAATGTCTGCAAAAAGGTAGATGCTTGGAAACTGCTTAAGTGGCAGGTTTCTGGATGCTTAGCAGCTTGGTTTCACTGGACCTGAGAGAAGGCATAGTTTTAGTTAAAAATTACCACAAAAGAATAGCAAGAAATATTTACTCAGAAAAATGCGGATTTCCGAAGACGACAAACAAGAACTATTGGCAATGAGTGTTCAGGTGATTGTTGAAATGTTGTTTAATGGAGGCTTTTTTTTTAATTAACAAAAATGGGGTTATTTTTACTTTGTCATCACTTACCTTATCTGTATTTTCTTTTCTCTTTCTGAGAACACACAGAAGGCTGAAACACTAGTTCTTACAATTCTTGTCAGAGCACAGAGCTGGTACGCTGGCTTTACATAAGCCCTGGTGGTGGAGGTGTGCCAGAGGGTTGCTGAGTGCAGGGGGCTCTAGGGACTACAGTTTCTGTAACAGAAAGAATGAAACAGGATACAACAACTTTGAAGTGATTTTCATTTACAGTGGCATGTGAAAACTGTGGTATTACTTTACTGGGGTAAAGCAAATGAGGTAAGACCCACATTGACAGCAGTGCAAAACCCTCCTCATCTTGACATTTCTGAGTGTCAGCTTTTTTAGCTACTCAGAAAAGTGGGAGACACTCTTATCAAAGCCAAATTAGGAGTAGGGCTGGATGCTTTCTGGATGAGGGACACTGCATACACTGGAAATATCACCCCAGTTTTGTCATATCTGAATGACTCTTCTGAAGTAGAGAAGTTGTGCCTTAAATGCTCCTCTGCCAGAGTCCCACCAGTACTGGGCACTTGGAATAAAACTCCCCTTTTCTCAGCATGGGATTTCCAAAATTCATTCTGTAGACAACACAGATAAAGCCCAAGAGAATTTGCCTGTGACAAGTGATCAGATTTCTTTGGAAAGCCAGGAGTTCAAGTAGATTTCCAGAACTTGGGACCAGCAGAAGAACTGCATTTTCTAGGGTAAAATGTCTTCCCTTTCAGCAAATGTGAAATTTGCTTTTGATTAGAGAGAACACTGAAAACGGAACACTAACATTTGCAATAAGCTCAGCCTTTCCTTGTGACTAGACAGATTGCCACAGGGAAGAAGTCAGATGGATGTCCTGTCCCTATTTTTGTTACTGACTCTTGAGGGCAGTCACATGCTGCAGCACTGGCCACCAGAAAGAGATGAGGCTTTTGACGTGAAATCTTACTGTTACTGCTTCTACTTATTGAATGGAACTATGATGCTTCTACTTAATGATTGGTAAAGGCTTAAAATATAAATGTTATTACTGTTATGCATGAGGCTTAAAATTCCTCCTGAGTAACCCCTATGGTTTCAGTGGAGGTGTTTATAGCAGCTGAGGAAAGAAGGGTTTATGTAGAAACAAAGGAGGGACCACTTGGAGAATAAACAGCTTATAGGAAGCTGTAGGCAAGATGGAAAAACTGTATTTAGATGCTCTGCCTCAATATACTGAAGGAAATGCAGCTACAAGATCATTATTTAATGTGGATACACATCAGTTAGCTAAAATGGAGTGGGTTTAAGTACGATGTGAACTAGGAGCTTTAGCTGTTTGCTAAGATGACTTCATTTCTACAGGTGTTTTCTCTTTGACATTTCTCATGTTGCACTCAAATTGTAAACTTACCATTTAAATGGTATAAATAAGTTTTAGAATTAAGTGCATATATACGCATATACATTCTTGTCTTTACTTATTAGTTGTTCTGATGTTCTTCATATATTTATCTTTGGGTGTTTTTTGGTAGGCTTATATTTGCAGTTCTGTATCTCTTGTTGTCAAGGTTTCCTAGCGTGGTTCCTCTGGTTGTTGTAGAGTGGTAATGAGTAATATTGTGGAAAAATCTTGCTGAGCCAAGTCAAGTTTCCAACACTTAATGCGCCCTCGCTCACCAGTTGCATTTGTGATATTGTCACTTTCTCATATTTGTATGAGTCCCTCAAATTAACAGAAATTGGCTTACCTCAGTTCTAGGATGTGATTTCACCTGTCAGTTACAGAGAAGCACAGAATGGTTGAGGGCGAATGGACCTATGAAGGTCTTCTTGTCAAAACCCCCTTCTCAAGCAGGGCCACCTAGAGACAGTTGCCCCCAGCTGTTAGATTTAAAAAAAAATATCACTAAAGATTGAGACTCTACAACCTCCCTGAGCAATCTGTGCCTGTGCTTGGTCAATCTCACAGTGAAAAAGTTGCCTGGTGTTCAGAGGAATTCTCCTGTGTTTTAGTTAGTTGGTGTCCATTTCCTCTGGTCCTGTCACTATACATTGCTGAAAAGAGCCTGGCTCCATCCTCTCTGCAACCTCCATTCAGACAATTTAGTTGTTAATTTAAAAAATACAATAGAACTAAATTCTCCTTGTTCTTTCCCCACAAAATAGCCTTGCAGAGAGCTCATGGGTTCCTGCTTGGATACTGAATTTCTAATACCATGTTCTGTTTTGTTTTTCAGATGGGCCCATTTTTCGGTATCTCAACATTCCAGTCCAAAATAACAAAATCAGCGGATATTGTTTCTGGAATATGTTATGTGGTATTTGGTGAGTATGGTATAGAGCTTTAGCTGTATTTGATGAGATAAGAAGACTTGACTGTAGAAGTAAAGTTTGTTTCTGACACAGGTGAACTTCTCTATGTTTGTCAAAAGGCGGGGGGGTAAGCATAGAATAAAATAATGAAAAGGTTTTTAACCTGTGGTTTATGTTAGATACAAATAAATTTATGTTAGGTTCAGTACTAGGAATATAAAGTTGGACAAAACTGTTGTTTCCTGAGGCCCTGAAAGTTCTTGGCATCATTGTGTGTGATCATTAAATCTAAACAAGAGACCGCCTCTTCTATACATCATTTCAAACCATAGAAGGACATATCCTGACTCCTCAGAATACCTGAGGTAAAATGCCAAAAGCCATAATTACAATATGTCTGGAAAGATCAAGTTTATCTCCAATGCCCAGTCACTGCCTTAGAGATTTCGGGGGAGGGGGTGATGCTGTTAGAGAGGAGGCAAATTTATCCTCCATAGTCCTGGTCTAACTGAGGAGAAAAATCCACATCCAGTCCTGAAGGTACTGGTCACTGTGACCATGAGCCAGGAAGAACAACCCAGATATCTAGGAGAGCAATAACCATTCTTGTTAAGTGCAGTCAGTAGGCACGAGTGGTGCCTGGCCCTTCAGAAAATGACAAAAAAGAAAAAAGTAGCAGCCAAATGGATGTCCTGGCAGGAATTTTCCTTCCTTAAGGCAACCAATAATAGCCCTGAGGTATGGGAATAATGCAAAGTAAGTAAAGCACCAATAAGGAGTGAACCCGTGTCTTCAGTACTGTCTGTGAACATTTGCATCCTACTGCCTTCAAAGATTATTGTGTGTTTCAACAGCCTTTCTCAACATTTTGACTGAAAAATATAGATGAATGTAAGGCCTATTTATTTTCTACTGTAGCTGCATATGGATAGCTGAGTTAGAGAGGAGACTTATAGCCTGGCTGGATAATTTATATCAATTTATAGACATGTCACTGCAGTATTTGTACTCCTGAATTTACAGAGCTGGGTCAGCTCAAGGTAGAGTAATTTCTTGTCAGAAACCTCATGCTGTTTTTCTACTACTGGATGGACTTTAAATTCTCTTTATTTCTAAATAGCTTTATTTCTGTAACGTAAAGGTAAAATTAAATGTATAGTGTAGCTTTATTTCTGGTTTTGGTGTTTTCTGTCTGTTGTCAACAACAAATAAGATGCCTTTACTGACAACATTGCTGATAAAACAGTGAAAATTTCATCTATGTCCTGTGTTGTCCTCTCCCATCTTTGTTCACCTGGTTATACAACATAGTGCCTACCTTGTAACTTTAACTTTTTCCTTCCGGATCCTGTGATAAACAACCATGCTCAGATTACAGACTCTCTTTTCAGGTTGTATCCACAGTATCTACTGTGTCAGTTGTACCAAAGCTGTTGAAGAGCCCTGCTTAGAGAATGGCTGCAGTATGTTCACGAAAAATGGAGAATAGAAAGATGGAGCTTGGAGTGATCCTGACAGAGCATTTAGTCCTTTTGTGACCCCTTATACCATTCCTGAGCAAAATTTGTCAAGCCTTCTCTGAAAAACTTTCCATGAACTCACTAAGCAGTTTCCTCCAGTGTTTGCTAATATCAGGAGAAATGGAAAACATGGAAAAGAGGTTTCCAGTAAGTGGTACTTTTACAAAGTTATACAAAATATTTGGAAGAAAAATTATATTCTTAAAGAGGAAAGAAAAATTATTTTCAATAAAATCTCTCTCCATCTCTCCCTCCAGGAATTTCACAAGGGAAACATAAGTGAAGAGGGATGGCTTTGACCATACAGTCAACCAGATCCCAAAGTGACAATGATGTCAGGGTGCATGCTAAAAACTGTGTATGGGCTTGAGCTGGTAATGCAAACAAGAACAGGCACCATGGGAAATAAAAGCAAAAAAATAAAATGGAGGCTTTGCTAAGGAAAAGTGGGATGATTGACTCTTCTGTAGTATAGCTACTAGGATTAGATAGATATTTAGTGGTGATGTGGGTACAGCTTTTACAGTCTGGTTAAAATTAATCTTACTAGGAACAGTAAGAGAGTATATCCTGGTAGTCTGATGATCTGTGCTCCTTGACCTCAGTCAACCTGATTTTGCTTAGGCAGTGTTCTTTTTAGAGATACCAAGTGATAATCAGATTGAATGGTAATTGAAACATGGAAAAAAATTTAAAATGTGGAAAGAAAATGGAAATAATTTTAAACAAAATGATTGCCTTTTACTGTGTTTTTTTTTCTCTTATATTTTTAAAGTCTTGGAGGAAAATGTTTGGAACAAAATTGTTTTACATTTGCAGGAGCAAAATTCAAGGAGAATATCTATTCTCTCCAAAAGATTTTAAATTACAAATATCTTAAACGGGTTTAAGGAGATCAGTGATGGAAAGGAATTTAGTATCAGTGTCTCACATTACTTTCTAATCTGCTATTTCCTTGTGAGAAAATATCACAATCTGTAGCATATTTGGGAAATTGATGCATTTTTTTCCTATGAGAGTATGATTAAATGAGGCAAATTATTTTATGGGTATAATCCAAAACCAACATTGGTTTAAGGTCTCCATGCAACTTGTTAATCTCAATTTCTATATCAGTATTAACCTATGCTCTATAAGTAAAATGCTGCTTTTCCCACAGGTGTGCAGGGACAGGCACAAGGTCCACAAAAGCACTTGGTCTCTCTTCAAGAGTTGATTTCACATGGCATTAGTTAAGGCACCCTCCCATTTGTTAGGTGTTCTCATGTCCGTGGCCCTCTGAAGCTTTTGTGTTTGAAAGTGCTGCTCTGGTGTGTCTACAAAAGGCTGCCTCAAACTCTGGGTTTTGGCTGTTGTCTGACCTCCTAAACTGAAGGTCAGCTAACTTTTATCTAACTCTGTGTATCCATAATAGGTTTTCATCCTATTAATTTAAATATAGAGAGCGAATTGCCTGTCTTTCACTAGACTGCTTGGAGTCTTCTTAATATTTCTCCTCATGCCTCATAGTAAAACCAGCATTTCTGCAGAAAGCAGTTCTATCTACAGCCAGTAGAGACATTGCTTAACTACATTTTTCACTTTCATGCATAATTCATGTTCTTTATATGTTGCCTATTATTAGTAGGAACCTACTATTAGTAGGTACCTGTGAGAAAATGCCTCGGAGAGGATGGAAAAGGGTTAGAGAATGCAGAACTCCAGTTCTGCAACTGGGAGAATGTGTGCAGTGCCAGATGGATATTGTCTGTGGCTTAATTAATGTTACATTCTTACAGGAAAAATGTTTTTTTTTGGCAGGTTAGTTAATTTAATGAATAAAATCATTCATTAGATCTTGGTAGGTAGTTTGATGGACAAAGCAAGAAGGAACCAGGAAAAAATGATAAAATGTTTTTTAAAAAAAAATAAAACAAAAGAATTATAAAGAAGAGAAAACTTCAAATGTGAAAAAGAGACAAGCTAATCTGACAAATGCTAGCTCTGGTGAGCTAATTCTTGTGCAGGAAAAGAAAAATGTTGGCTGAAAGTAACTTTTTCTTCATATTCTATGTTTCTCTGCAGGAATATGCTCCTTGTGTGGCAACAGCATTCTCCTATACGTCTCCTACAAAAAAAAGAATTTGCTAAAACCAGCAGAATACTTCATTATCAACCTTGCCATCAGTGACCTTGGTATGACTCTGGCACTGTGCCCTCTAGCTGTAACCTCCAGCCTTTCACACAGGTTTGTTCACTACACACATGACATTACACATCCTCTGCAGGCTCTGGACGTCTGTGTCAGCGGCGAAGACTGAATTACTCTGCCACTTTCCTTGTCATAAAAGTCGGAATTAGTTATAGGGACTGGGAGAAATATGCTTTGTAAGAGCAGATTTATAGACTGCTGGTGTTAATTAGAGTTTGTGTCTATTTGAGGTTACTGTCTCTTTTTTGATTTCTCCAGGAGTGAGAAGATTTTTGTTCCAAACATTCACTTGCTACTGTATTTATTCTTTGTAATATTATTTAAGTGACAGTGAAACACTTTGTATTTTTTTTCAATTGGACAGTGAAAGTTTTGTACCATAAAAGGAAAACCCTGAATTCCTTTATGAGCTCCAAAAGTAGTGGTAGTGATGATGCATACTAAACTTAGAACTTCTTCTTTCCCCATTTCTCTTTATTTGCATGAATTCAACCTCATAACATTATGCAGTATCTATTTTTTTGTGATATTCTTTTAAAGTTTGGGAGGCTTAGGAGATTCATTACTAGACCTCAGATTATTTGTAAACCCAGGCAGTATGAAAATGTTTAAAAGAAGAGAACTAGATAGAAGAGGTGAAGGAAGATTAGGAGGTTGTCAAGAGTTTTTCTGCAGGATTTGGGAAAGGATGGTATTTGCAATACTTTGGTCTATCCTAGTTGTTCCAGAATGTCCCATAACTGTACAGATGTGAATATGCAGTGCTGATTTAGTTTCCCAAAACATTTTACTGAGAAACTTACAAATATGTATTTAATAATGTAGTTAAGTAGAATATATTTAACAAAGGAGATGGACAGCACCTCACCCAACATAACCCCTGGGTAATTTTTTTCTTTTTAGATAATGAAAATGGAAAAAAAAAAAGTATTTGTTTTGATGTGACAAAATCTCTCTGTTCTTCTCTCTAGTTTCGTATCATTTTGGCATCAAAATAAAAAATAAGAGAAAAATCCAGCAATTACCTAGTTTTTACCACATTACATTCAGTAGTAAAATATTGCTAAGCATATTGACTACTGGAGATGAGTCTTCAAAATCTAGAATGGGGCTTTTGGTAACTGCTACTGCAAATACTGTTAGCTGCTGAGTAGAAAGGGAGGAGGTATAGTGATTCAGATAAAATTTTTGTTCTTCTGGAGAACCTTCACGAGAGAACATGTTGAATTTGCTGAATAATAGTTTTGAAAATATACATAAAGATAGCAGAAATAGTAATCAGATGTATTATTTTATGACCTAGGTCTACCAGTGACAAGCATTTAAATTTTTCTTTTCAGAATGACTAAGACATACTGCTTTGTTTTATAAAAATAAAAAAGTTTAAATGTGAATCATAAAAATAAAGCGGGACATGATTGCTTTATTGGCTGTAAGTATTTCAGATGAGAATATCTTTTGTAGTACGTCATTGACCAACAAATGTGTTAACCACGCAGCTTTACTGAATTTTTAAGGCTACAAGTGTAAATATATTTCCACCACTTGGTATTACATTTGAGAAAGAAGGCTATCATCTAAGAATTAACTTTCTTGGTTATTTGCCAGGTGGCTGTATGGGAAGCAGATTTGCTTGTTCTATGCATTTTGTGGGGTGATGTTTGGAATCTGCGGTCTCTCAACACTGACATTACTGAGCACTGTGTGCTGCCTCAAAATTTGCTTTCCAGCTTATGATAAGCTAATGTTTCTGTTTTGAATTACTCAATTTTTCATGTGAACATAGAGCATCATTTCTGGGTTGCATACTCTAGAGACTGTTTTTATAGAAGAGATCTTTCACACCCATTCAAACAATTCTTATATCTGTGATCATTGATGATTAACTATAGGGCTAGATACAAGCAATTGATTGCTTTAAATCTCTTTTAAGTCAAGGTGATAATTTGGGAACATGGTGTAAGAGTTCTGATCTGAACAGACTATTTTTTTTTCAGAGTTTGTTGCTGTATCTTGATAGAGATTTATTCATAAAGATTTATGTTGTGCTAAGTATCAGAGAATTCAACTACCTGTTGTTTTTGCAGATTGTTGTGAACCACGCTGTATTCTTAAAAGCCTTCAGTGTGCTATAGTATTTTGAACACCTAGTAAAGTTATCCATCTTAATTGCCATGCTCAGCTGCCTCTGTGTCGGAAACTCCATGGAGACATGGCAACCATGCTGAATTGTACTCAGTGTTTTGTGTCTTCCAGGAAACAGGTTCAGGAGAGAACACGGACAAATCCTGATAGCCTGTGCTTGGACTTATGCAACAATTTTTGCCTGTTCTCCCCTAGCTCACTGGGGAGAGTATGGAGTGGAACCCGACGGCACTGCCTGCTGCATTGACTGGCGTTCCACCAACATAAATGCTGTGGCCATGTCCTACACCGTAGTCCTCTTTGTTTTCTGTTTTATTCTCCCTTGTGGAGTAATTATCGCTTCCTACTCTCTGATTCTGGTAACTGTGAAAGAATCCAGGAAAGCAGTGGAACAGCATGTCTCTGGCCCCACCAGGATGAGCAACGCACAAACCATTACTGTCAAGGTATTTGGAAGTTAGTCATTGGCAAGTTGTTTTTGGCACAGCTGGGCAGCACCTTTTAAGCACCTAAAAAGCTCCTAAGAAGTGAGTAAAGATGCAAAAGAAAATTGGTCCTTAACACTTTTTTATTTCAGACAACAGTATTTATTGTCTTGGGCAAATTTGCTCCATGGCAATGAATTGTTAAATATACAAATAGTAGCTATGTTGTTTCTGGAGGGTGAAAACTGAGTTTGCAGAGCTTCATTACTTGTTAAAATGAGGAGTCATTTTAAAAATTAGGATTTCAGGCTTTTGATGAGAGGAAGGTTAAAAATTGGAGCACTGAGTAGAAGCGAGTTTTGGTCTTATGCTCAGGAGCTATGGCATATGAAAGCCAAGTTGATTTTGTGTGAATGAATTCTGTTTGTTCAGCTACAGACATCTGAGGAGATCCAGGCTTAAGCTTTGTATTATTAAAGATTTTAAATAGTAATGCAGAGATCAAATTTTCTTGTGTGTAACTGAACAAAAGACAAAAGTCACAGAAAAGCATATCTCAAGATTTTTTACACAAAAGCCTCTGAAGGTTTGTATTTCACTAGCTTATAAAGTAAAATTAAAGCTGTGGTCACAAGAGCTGTGGAAATTGTTTCCTGCTGCCAAATTGTCCCTTTCCAGAAGATCAGCATCTATTTTTTTTAATAGATTGAAAATATGAAGAGGAACGTTGCAACTGACATTAGAATCATAGAATGGCCTAGGCTGGAAGGGACCTTAGAGATCATTTTAATCCAGCCTCCCTGCTGCCAGGGACGCCACCTCTCAACTAGATCAGGCAACACATGGGGACCGAATGGTCCTTCACTCTCAGATAATGAACCTCTTGAAAGACATGAGTGTTACTTCTTGACTCTTAATTGTCTCCAGTAAAAACTCTTTGTCTTGACTGGTGTTGGGAAACACCATCCTCCTGTCTACTGCATAGTCTTGTAACCTAAATATCTTCCTCAATCCAAGCAGTTCAAGAACTAAAGAGTTATGTCCACATCTTACCTGCTCCTTATTTGTAATAACTCTTAGATGAAACATATCCCAGCTAAACCTCTTAAGTATATTCCTGCCCCATTTTGGATATCCAGTAGATATTCATTTTCTAAGTCTTTTATTTCACAAGTTATTATCCTTTAACTCTTTAGATAGTCTTTTAATACTCTTCATATTTTGCCCTAATTGACCTCTATACTTCTCTTCAGCGAGACAAAATGCTGGTTACACGGTATGCTCACAGTGCTCAGAAGTGTGCGTGCATGTTCAATGCTACTTGCCCTTGTTATGAGTTCCTTATAATAAACACTGGCAAAATGAGAATAATAGCTCCTTCAAAACTTCCTTCGTGATATTAACACAAAAAGTCATGCTGGTATATCGTAGTGGTTGTTATTGGTTGGGCTACTGGAACACTAGTAGAACTGTTTCATCTTGTGAAGCTTCTTCAAAAGCATGAATATTCTTGTTCCTGACTTTTAATTATATCCACACTTCAGTTATAAATAGTGCTTAGAATTCTTGTGTTTCACATATGTCTGTGATAACTTACACAAAACTTCCGTTGATTTTCTTTGGTGTTTATTGTGTGTTGGTTTTTTGTTTTGTTTAAAAAAGCCTATCAAAACTTTCTCATAGAGGTAATTAGGGCAAAAAATTGCGCAGTAGGAATTAACTTAAATTCATTAATTTGATTCATCCTCAGGATTAATCCAGTTTTCTGCCGTCACCTGCTTGTGTGTGTCTCCAGTTGAGCACCAACAGTAAAGTTATGGAAGACATTCTGTAGCCAGGGAAACCAGCATTTCTCATGAATTAGACAGTAGATAGGAATGGCTTTGCAACACAGACAAGCCCCTGATTGTCTGTCTTTTTGGTCTAAAAAGATATTTCATGGCACTTTGGTGAAAAAGAAGAGGAATGTAGAAGCTGATACATTCTAACTCTGAAAGTTTCGGGTAGGAGTAAGTTCAGACAGAACTATGTTGCTAGAACCATACTCATTTGGAGAACAGTTGAGGTATGATGATTGGAGAGGCTTTTAACAAGGGGGTTCCAATTAGGTGGTATTTTTATGTGTAATACTATTTTGTTGGCTATTTTCCTCATGAATGCCATTTTTTTAACTCCCTGTTTTCTCTTCTTCTCTTCAAGCTGAGTGTTGCTGTGTGCATTGGATTTTTTGCTGCCTGGAGCCCTTATGCCATCATTGCCATGTGGGCAGCTTTCGGATCAATAGATAAGATTCCTCCATTAGCCTTTGCTGTGCCAGCTCTCTTTGCAAAGTCCTTCACACTCTACAACCCAGTTATCTATCTCCTTCTGAAACCAAATTTCCGAAACACCATTGCCAAAGATTTCACAGTCCTTCAACAGTTATGCATCAGGAGTTGTTTTTGTGTCATGGTACCACAGAACTCCAGATCAACTTTGAACACCATCCTGAGAACATTTAAAGGCAAAAATGAATCCAGCTGTAATTCTCTGCCAATTGTGGAAGAACATTCTTATTTGCCCCATGAAAAGCGCAGTGACACTTTTGAATGCTTTGAAAGCTATTCAAAATGCTGCCAGGAGAGGCTAAGTGCTATGGAACTGCATCCCCAGGAAACTGTGTCCTTGGAGAGCAACCTCCAAGCAAAAGTGAGACAGGGCAGTAAGAAGTCAGTAAAGGTGATTGTGTTGGGAGAAAAAAGCACTGAAATTGATATCTTGGAAATCACCTCAGAAACAGTACCCGTGTGTCGTGCGTTTACAGACTCGTAGAGCTGCTTGCATGAAGCCCTCTGACAGTAACATTGTTATACTTTTGTGAATGTAACTTTTCCTGAAGAGTCCTTCTACTACTCCATTTTCTAGACTATCTTCTGTTTTTATCTCATACTCTTTGGTGGGACATAGGCTCTACAGCATAACTGTGTTACAAAGCTGTATGACTTTTGCCATGCCAAGTTAAGCACATTGTGCCAACTGTGTTCAGATCACGAACTATATCAAATAAACCCTCTCTGCATTTCATAACATCCTTTTACCCTGTTCTCAAGAGAATACACTAACTAGCGAGAGGTTTTCCGTAAAGCATTGTTACCCTTTCTAGACTATATACATTTTATATTCTGTCTCTTCAAAGGGAATAAATCAATGTAGAGTTTTAAAAGAACAAGCTCATTCTGGTTTAATTGCTATAGCAACGGAAAAGGTAAATGCTAACTGAAATGCCTGTTTTCCAAGAAGCGATGCTGAATGACTGCATATGTTGCTGGGAAGCACAGATTGCTTTGTTTTGAGATGAATAGGCAAGTTCTGACCTCATTCTACATGAATGAAATAAAAATATTTCAGGTAATTTAAGATAGTATGTAACTTTTGTTTACCTTTTGGTAATTTGAGAACTTGCCCTAGGACATTATTACTCTCTTTCCTGTATAGGACCTTGAAATAAGGAGGGTGAAGACGTGGCCCAGAACTACTATAAGGACCAAGAATGTCTGCTAGTGCAAACCACTGAAACCTGTGAAAGCTACCCCACATGAAGATCACAATCCTCCAGGAATTCCTTAATTCGGCTTACAAGGGTTACAATGCAGCAGAGTAAGAATAGGAACACCTCTTCTTTCCAGTGTTCTCGATCTCCATTCTTCCCCTCTGCAACAGGAAGGAAAAGAAAGTGAAAGGGTGTTGGAGAAAGGACTTTTGAAATAGGGAGGATGTGGTTAAACTGCTGCTCTATTTCATAGCTTGCCACCAAGAGGCACCAGATCCTCTCCTGCTCCCGTGAGAGCAAGGGCATGGTGGGAGTAGCCAGGATACAACCAAAATTATAGCTTTGTTATTAGAAGTGATTATAACATTGTTTTCCAACAGGGTTTACTCTGGGCAATAACAGGGTTCTCCTCCCAAGGACTTTGCCATCTGAAGGGCCAGTTCATCCTACACTCTTCAGGAGACGCTACAAAAGTCTCAGGGGAAACTTGTATCTTTATAATGACGATTCATCACCAATGTATTTTGCTGCTGTTTCTGTGGTCACTTGAAGAAAATGTACCTGACTGCAGAAGGGACAGCCATATTAAGTTCTATGAAAGTCTCCAGTTAGCCACTTTAGGATTTTAAGTTGCTATAGAATTCATTTGGCATATTTACCTGGGACACAGAGTTTTCTGTCCTGTTTTTAACCCGCTTTCACTCCCCCCATCTCCTCAGCCTTCTTTTATCCTCAATGTTTTTGTATATGAATGATCATTAGGATACTTTTTATTGGATTTCCATGATGTTTAAAATACGTGACCTAATGAAGAGTACAAAACATTTACAGGACATTACAGAAAACAAACTCTACCCAAGGTAAAAAATAGTATCTCACTTTAGAAACTCCAAAAATGCAATCAGAAAAGACAGCTGGACTTTAAATGCTCAGAAAATTTTCTGTGTGTTTTCTCCAAGACTTCCCATGACACATGAGTCAGCAGCACAACACAAACAGGAGCCTAATTCTATGGGGCTGTCATCAGTGTGACTGCTGTCTCTGACTTCAGATGGGGTGGGATTAGGCTTTGGGGACCTTTAGGCAATGCTGACCTTTTCAGATGGTGAATCAACAAAAAACAAGAGTGGAAGCTACATTTGGAGGTCATCTGCCCCTTACTGTTCGAAGTCCCTTTGACGTCAATGCACAAAGCTGAGTATGTGAATAAAATCTCTGGAGGACTCACTGACAAAAGGCGGATGTTTGGGGGTTTTAACTGCCGTATCATTGCAAAGCGTGAAAATGTCACCCTATCAAAAGACAGAAAATTATTATCTGCATCGTGCAAAGGGGCTGCATGCCCAGTTTCCATACAGATGTTTGAAATCCCAGCTGTATCATACAGCCCTTTAAAATGATCAGAAAAATGTTGGGTTTTTTTTGCTGTGACTACTCTTTGAGCTGTGCTGCTTGTTAGTACATGGTGATATAATATTATTAGCTATTGATCTAAGTCACAAATATATTTTTTATAGGACATCTACATAGGGATGTTAGTAAAGTAAGAAAGCTTGGAGTTTCCATGCCTGGCTTTATAGTCACTTTTCAGTTTAGCACTCTCTATAGTGGAACCCAAGACTGGCTTACAGTAGATGTTACTTTTTCTTTAGTGGAAAATACGTGAACACATATTTATGTAAAGTTCTTTTGTTAATGTGAAATAAAACCTCACTGTATCTTTTTAGGTTCCTTCAAATTGGCATTGAACTGCTTGAACCTGGCTGTCAGATCTGAGTATAGAGTAAAACATTTTACTCAGACGGTCACATTCAACTTTGTGTTGAAAATGTAATGTTTTAAAAATGACTGTGGAAATCCATGCCAGCTCCTTTTATAAGTTAACAAGAGGAACACTGTGCCTTTGCAGAGAATTCCCCATATATTTGACATTAAGAATGACAGTGCACTATGTTCCCACTACTTGGGGGTGAACATTCTCCCTCTTGTGCAGGTAGCTTTTTCTGTAGCAACCGGAACTTCCAAAAACCTTTTCAAACCTGTAACTTTTGGATTTTCCCAGCTGTTGTTCATCATGGTTAGTCATAAGTTACTGCTAGTAAGTTTATGTGTATATCAAATGCCATCAGTTGAAGGGTTCTTCATTATTATGCATTAAGGTCTGATGAAGGAGTCAAATGATTATTTGAATTAAAAAATAAATTAAACAAAATATTTATTTTCAAAGATGAAACAATAAACTTATTGTCGATAAATTAACTTATCATTTCTGTTGTTAGTAATGTATTTAAGTTCACTGAATATGACATATATAATGTCAGTAACAGTAATATTAAGTTAAACTAGAGAGATTGCTAGTATAGCATAGCATGAGAAACAGAGGACTCTGACTGCCTGTTACGCCTTTTGAAGAGGAGACAGTGTTTTCCTAAAAGTCAGTTGCTCAGAAAGGGTGCTGGTGTAAGCCTGTTTTTGACCAGCAGGGACTGAAAGTCAACCCCACCTGGTGGGAAAGTTGGTGATGCAAATAGGCACAGCTCTCACACTAACAGGTAACTTGGCTTCATTGCACACACGTAGCTTAGTAAGGACCTTGTACTGAAAGTGTGTAAAAAAAATCCCTCTTTGCTTGAACTAAAGGGATGAGGGGGCTTAGCTGGGTGAGCTGAGGAGAGCAGGACAGAGCTGGTGGCTCTGGGCTTGGCACAGTTAGTCCTTGGGCCAGAACAGCAGAGACTAGAAGTGTGCGCCTGTGCTCCCTGATCGCAGCATCCTCTCTCCCCCTCCATATTTACTTCTAGCATTCATTTATGGCTTTGTCTCACTAAAGATGGTCAATTTTGGAGGAGGAAATGCATTCTCCTGTGCATGTGAAGGCTTTCAAACTGGTTGGGAGACACAAAGACTTTTCTCACTGCATGGGAAGACTGAGAGATTTGCCTGGAGGGGCTCATGCTGCTCTTGACTTTGCTCTGTATCCACTGTGGACAGGCAATGTGTACTGTAGACAGTCAATATAACATGTTTGGGGAGAATTATTGCAGTGGAAGGAGAGTCTGTTGGAGGTTGTAGCAAGCAAGTGAACTAGCTGGCTACATGCTGTCTCAGCCAAAAGAGCTGGAAATAGCTCTTCCTAACTCTTCTGCCACCTTCTTGATCCTTTCCTGGCACTTTTCTTCCCTTACACTGTCCTTTCTTGCTGTGCACTTTCCTCTCGTCTGTGCTCTCTGCCTTCCTTCAGTTTCCTTTTTCTTTTCCTGATCTTTCTTCCCTTCCTCCCCACTCCTCAGCACTCAAAACACCCCTGTCGAGCTCTGCAGCAGGCACCTGGCACTCTTTACACCCAACAGAGTCACAAAAACCTTTGAACAGTCTAGTTTCTATGTGCAATGCCAAACCTTTGTGATTTATGGCTTTTGCTTTTCCAATCACTGTCAGAATTGAGCTGGTCTGTGCAGGCCAGAAATGCATGTTCGAGTTTCTTTTTTTTTTTTCTTGTTGACTCTTTGGCAAGATACCTTTAGCAAGGTACCAAAGACAGCTCTCCTGCCAAGATGGCACGTTCTTGCAGTGAGTTTGGGAGAGAGACTGGGATATCCCCATTATTTTTTTCCACTTCAGACAAAAATACTATCTGTAGAGAGAAGGCATTATGCAGTACATGCTTCTCATGCTGTGGTCTCTCTGTAAGAGAAATACATCTTTTCCTAGACATGGGCTTTTAACAAAGAAGTCAGTGATATTCCTTCTGTCATGTCCTGGGTAAAGGACATCTGCAAAGAAAAGCCAAGAAGAGAAGCTCTCTGGACAAGTTAGCTATGATTGGCATGCTACGAGTTTATGCCCTTAGGACAGCTGGAAATAGACTATTTGTAGACAGTCAATCAGATGAATAAGCAAGCAGGATCTGTATTTTGGACCAGTTCTGTGTCATCGAGCAGTACAAGCAGTGCACCAATGAGACACAAAATCAAAGCATTATATACCTGAAGAGGACTGCAGAGGTGCATTTGACCTATCAGGAAAAGAAGACCATAATGTGTGGGATAATCAATTGCAAAATGCATCTGTGAGATATGTGAAAGCATTGACTGGTCTGGGGTCAGGGGTAAAAACAGTGCTGGCAATGTTACAACTGTTCAATACAGCAATTTTGAAGTAAAAAGCTTTGATTTTACTGGTCTGGAACCTTAAGGGGGTTTTGGCACCATTAGGAAGGTGTCAAACTAGATGAACAGTTCATCCTTGGGTGATGCCTGATGGTTGAGTGTACCTGGGAGAG